AGTTATTTAGGAACCGCTGAACCATGAAACTATTTTTATTGTCAGAATCCTGAATGGTTAAATAATGACTAGCTTTCACAGTTTGCCTGTTATTTATTTTATAATCTAGTTGAGCTACTAAATTTAGCTGTTAACTAATAGACTGTCTGTTCTGGGAAATAACTTATTTTCCACCCCTGCACACAACGTTTATGAAAGTCTGAATGTAAATATATGAATATAAACATATCGCTGCTTGTTGTAATCATGCACATTTTTTCTTGAACCTCCATGTGGATTTGGAATATGTTTATGAATAGAGCTTGTTTTCATGTAAATGGGATCAAGCAGTACCACTGGTTAGCTATTCAGAGAATCTGACAATATCACCCTTGCTGCAAATACTTCAATAAGAATTTATCCATGTACCTAACATTTGAACTCAGATTTTTTGCTTTATCGTTCTCTGTTCTAATCTCAGATTTTATTGACTGAAAATGAACTACATGGTGATGTTAAACTAAATGCAATCTATTCTATCTGGTTTTTATCACTGCATACTTCAGCTTTCCCCTGAGTAACTGTAAGAAAAGAGATTTCTTTTCCCCTTCAATGGCAGCCCCAAAAAAATCAGAATGCAAAAATCCTGCCGACAGTTTCCAAGCCAATTCAATAGCTTGGAAGATAAAAATTCTTAAAATTTTTAGACATGAAAATAAAAAGAAGATGTGAGTTTGGTAAATACAAGCAACATTTTTTTTCAGTCTTGTCACATATCAGATAATCCAGTGTCCATTACTAAAACAATGTTTTTTCAAAGAAAGAATACAGGGATTTCATGCTTATTAAACTATATGTATTGGCACCTGGAATAAAACAATAGCAATAATTTGTGAATAGAAATCTGTACTCTAAACTAACCTTCACATATCCATTTCTTTTTTTAAATTCTATAAATATTTACACACTTACCTGCATCTTAAGTGCTTCAAAATAAATGTACAAAATGCAGGGATTGCAAATGCATTACGTATTTTACCTGTCATGTGTGAGTCTTTGTTTACTACAGAAACAACATTATTTCCAAACAGACTGGGAGGAGTATTAGGAAAGAATATCATTGAGAAAAACAACTTAAGCCTTGCTGCACTCTGCTATACTCCCAGTACAAATAGGATGACATGGTGTGAGTATCAAGAATACAAGAGATGGCACAGCCAGGTTGTTTTGATATTTGTGTGAAGAACAAATTTAACTCTAAATCTCTTGGCAAGACCTTGCTTCACCCACATAATCTGGAGAACATCCATATGTGAGCCTTGTCTAAGCCTCCGAGAAGACTGCTGCCCTCCTGCTCATGTCCGCCAGCACTCTGATCTGACTTTCATACTTAATCTGATCTAATCCTGTCCAGCATTAACTTCATCTGTGCAATGAAACCTGGAGTATCCATTCTAATATTTGGTGAGGAAGGCATTTACTAAATTACTTGCTGAAATCATATGGTGTTGTTTAGCTCCTTATTTTAATCAGATGATGCATCTCTGAGGCACATTATCAGCGATTAGTTAGAAACCCATCTCTGTCCTTTTTGGGAACAAAGAACTTTTCCGAAATTAAATGCTAAGAGAAATGAAACACTGTTGCATTCGGTCAACAAATAGGTATTAGAAAAAGGAAAAAAGAAGAATAAATACACTTTCTCCAGTGCTATGCAAAAACAGTAACTTCTTTGAAATAAGCACAGTTTGCTTAAATAGCAAAACATCAAACCAAAAAAAAAAAAAAAGAAAAAAACCTTTAGAGGAATATTTTATCAGAAGCCACTTAAAAAGAACATTGTTTAAAAAGACAATAGACAGCTTCGCACTTCCCTTTGCCGTTTTCCTTTAACTATTTCTTAGTAAGGTACAGAAATCTGCTGAATGGAACTATCCTAGGAAGTTTCTGTTTTCAGAATTTGGTCTCTTACAATAGCTACATGCACCAAAATATAAATATTTTTTTCTGTTCTGGACCTCTAAAGGGTCAAGAACAAATATTCATTAAGGGAAGTCAGATTCATTTAAAAATATCTGCCCTCTTAACTGAAATCCCCATAGCTGTTTTTATGCTTTCTGCACTTACAGAATTCATAAAATTAATAATTTGCCATTTAAAAAGTCAGCATGCAGTAAATAAAGGGTAGCACAATTCTACAAATCCAGTACCAGAAATGGTTTGTTTCAGCAACGAAATCTATTTACATATGTTATTAGATAATATACTGTACCGTAACATGTATCTACCTTTTCATAAATTAAGTGTGGTACTCTTGATTTTTTTACTAAGAACTCTCTTATTATTAACATTTGCCTGTGTAAATGATATAAAGCCCAGGTCTACCAATACTGCTGTCAAATTGATTTAAGAAACAGAATGTGATGACAAAAAGATTTCAAAAATCTTTTTTTCCTTGGAAAGATTTTCTGGGAAGCAAAAAATATATCCCCTTATATCAATAGTCAGATCTTTCCTAAGAAGTAAGCTAATTGAGCTGTTTGTGTTGATAAACTCCCTTTTCTCCAGACTGTTCTTCGCTGAGCCATAATTATTTGCAATTTGCCTAAGTCGTCCATTTACTGATACGTCAAGCATGAAACAGAGGCAATTCCAGAAAATGGAAATGCTTCTCAAAATCAATCTTTGGGAAATAATGTGGTAGAAGTTACTGTGTGATAGAAGACTACCTTATAACTGTCACATGGAGATGAATATTAATTTGTTGAGGTTAAGGTGGCTTTGTGCTTCATTTGTTGACTTTGCTTAGCCATCAGCAAGCAGCACAGTACAATTACTCCAGCAAAGCTATTTTTCTAACATGAGTTTTACGATTTTTATGTACTTACCAGTCAGCACACATAACAATGTCAAAATGTCCTTCCAGTTGAGAGACATCTGTCTCATTATCCCATCGTAAAATGCTAGAGGAAAAAAAGATTTAAAAAAAAAGAAAAGAAAAGAAAAAAGGACTTACATTTTTCATCTTGATATTTTAAAAGTATTAATATCATTTTTATGTGACACAAAAGTGTTTTAAAAAGTATACACACATTACTTTCAGAGATGACTGTAACAATATTTCCCTGCACTTTTTTTAAATCTTAAAGCTATAGAACTACCTTTTTGCTGTAGCAGAAAGGCAATCCACGCAGTCTGGTCAGTGCATCACCAACAAATACTCATTTCTGAATTAGTGGCCCGTATATGGCTTGAGATTTTTACCCCTACCACCACTGTGCGAGTCAAAGCATTGACCATCGGAACGTAACACAAATTTGCAAAGCAGATGTGAATTCGTGGCTCTCCGTTACATCTGGCAGGCAAGTCAGTTGTGGTTCTCGCTGATGAAGTGAGCATTCGCTTGGGCTCGAGGGAGGAGGGACAGGGTGAAAGAATGCCCAGCTTAACTTCCATGCCAGCTACGGTGCCTCGGGCAAGCTTAAAAATACAGCAGGGCTGACTCTGTCAGCACCTATTCTCTCATAGGTGATAAGTTCTTTAATTCTAAGATACCTAATAACAGGCGAAAATGCACACGTGCGCCAACTTCTTCTTTGTCTGTAAATGCTGCTGCTTTATGCAGCTGCCATGAAGAATTTCAGTACTTTGCTCCCGTTTAAAAACAGCAACTACTATTGGAATTCACTGCATACTTAAAACATCATTACTCCCCAGATTTGAAGCTGCATTTCGATTTCTAGTGCATTTTTTAAAAACAGTCTATCCTCCTTTTTCATTTCCTGGTTATTTATAAAAGGAAGTGGATAAATATTTATGGGAAAAGCACTTGTGGGGGAAGGGTCTAATCTGATCTTGTCAGGTTGTGCATGCTTATCTCAGTTTTGTATGAGTCTTGACCAAACAGACCCTTTAGTCTTCCCGCAGCTATAATCTACTTCTGGTTAAAAGCCATCTCCATTCACATACTACTCCTAATATTTAACTGAGGATCAGTTTTAATGTGCTCATTCAGAAATGTGCCCTGAGTATACATGAAAAAAGGGAATTGTACATTGTGACTGCACCATCTGCAGAAAAGGCTCAGAAATATACTATACACGCATGAGTGGTATATATAAAAATATGCACGTTTGTATCAAAACACAGAGCTCCACAAAGAAAGAATTAAGCTATGAGGACACGCGTGTGCCTGCGCACAGACACAAATTTTGAGACAGACTGCTTTTAAAACACGGAAATTATGAAAGGACAGGCCCGGTCGGCTGGGAAAGCTTCGCTTACGAGGGGCTCAGCGCGACCGAACGGATCAGGGCTCATTAGCCCATTCGCCCTCCTGGAATTTACTGTGACAATCCAAAGAGTGAAAAGAGTAGATTAATTTAATTTTTCCCCCTCAAATTGAAAGTCTTCCAGATTTTCGAAGCCTAGGTAGCTTTGCACACTGGCACTCAGCAGGCCGCCAGGAGTGGAAAGTGACAAAGGAGAGTTCTCACTCTCAGCGGCTGGCTGCCTGCTGGCTACCAGCGGCTTTTTCAACCCTGTTTCCGTGGAAACTTAGGTTAGAATGGTGAAAATTAGGTAAAGGTGAGTTTTGTGGGTTTAAAGCACGCACTCTAATATTTTAAGAATCCTGAAGCAGACCTGGAAATTGGTAGATGAACTGCGAGCCTTGAAAGGCCACCTTTGGTTCTCATTGCTGCAGAAGCAGAGATCTGATCAGTACCACTATAGGGATCTGTATTACGATTTTTTAAATCTATATATTTACTATACTTCACACATGTAGTTCGGAAGGCAGCACAGGTGGCTCCTCCTAGGAAAAAAAAAACAAAACAAAAACAAAATTCTGTGCACACCTACCAAAGGCACAAAGGAGTTGGTGCAGGTACGTAAAAGCTCAGCAGCCATAACGCTGAGCAAAATATAGACTAGTTGAGCTAGCAGGAGCTTGCGCAGTGGTGCAACAGCACTGGCCTGTGTGCTGTTACAAGGCATGAGCTAAGGGAAGCGCACCCAGCCATAAGCCAGGCTTCCTCCATTTTCCTGATTTAGCTCCAGAGCTGCTCCGGGCCACTAGCTCCAATACTGCTGCACTTCCTGAAGACAGGATACTTATGCTAAGGCCAGTGATAAATTTGCACAGAAGATTTTCAAATCCTACTTTACCATTAACTCTCAAAGGGCAAAGGAACATCTTTATTAATGTTGGGAAATAACCTTGTAAACTAAAGATACTGTCTATAAAACAAATAATAGCAGGACTGATTCTGATCTCACTTGGCCTGTGCACACCGCAGGGAAAGGTGTAACCATAAGCTATATACATTTATCCATGCTGTCTTTAGACTAGCGCAAATAAAACTCACGTGCTGAAGTGTAGCGATGGTACATGTAGCTCAGTAGCAACCTCAGAAATTTAGGTAGCTAAATCTGGGCTACTGTGTCAAAACTGTTATCTGATTAAAGCTGCCAAAAATTGGCATGACCTGCAGTCATATGTATATCTGCATTTGCATCTGTGAAGTGGATATGCCTCTGCATGTTAAGGAATCAGAAATAACTCTGCTCAAAGTCAGAATTATTACATCTTTAACACTGACGTCAGAACCAGCCTGATTCTGAATCAGTCAGTCATTTTGATTTCTAATGCTAATGAAAGTAATGAATCAGAGTCAGGACATCAATAAATAGCATCAAAGAGCAATGGAAGTTCTTGTAATCTAAACATAATTCTTGAACATGAAGTACAGAAAAATCTACCCATACTGCAAACCACACTGAGATGAATAAAGCTGTGTGCACGTGTATCTAAATGCATGTATCTATATGTAGAGTAAGGAAAAATGAACGCTTCTTCCAGGGATTGTTGATGACATGGCTCTTGGACTTATTGGCCAGAGCTGAAGGAAATACTGAGAGTACAGTGAACTAAGAACCAAATGCATCTTCATTTAAAGAAAAGCACTGCTAGGAAAATCAGAAAAGTGTTAGCAACAGAAATCTGAAAATCTCAGCTTTTATGAAATTTCCTTTAAAAATAAGCAATACTGTGCCACAAAAATCTTTTAGGTTTCTGGTAACATGTTGAGTGCCAGAATTAGAAAAAGCAAATCTTTGTTAATATTTTCTTCTTGCTCCCTTCTCAACAATACTAAATTCATTGACACAAAAAAGACTGTTTTCACATGTGAAATTAGGAACTGATTTAATTTACTATTTATGAGATAATATGGAATCAATACTAAGGCAAGAATTTTGCTGCCAAAGAACTGGGGAGCAGGTCCAGAAGATTTTGTAGGGTTACTTTTTCAGTCTTTTGAGTGGTCATCTTGAATGCACAAAGCAGATAAGACTGAGAAAAATCATTATTTGAATTAGTACAGAAAAATGAAGTTTCTGAAGCTTCAAAATATTTGTTTTCCCATTTTCTTCCTGTAAAATAAGAACTTTTAAAGATATAACATTTTTAATGTGTTTCTTTTGAGGTAAGATGCTACAATACTAACAGCTGAAATTATTCTGCAAATTTAGAAAACATACTTTCCGCCGTGTTTCTGTCTAAGCCATACTTTTAATGGCTTTTCTGATAAAAATAACATATTTAAGGTTGTCTGAAGCCCACTTTTGATTTTAATTTTTGCTGGCTTATTTAAACTATGCAGGTTTTAGTTTTTGCAGTTGAAAGTAGGTAATTTAATTTCAGTAGAAAGGGACCTGAAACCCACTGGAAATATAAAACAATTTGGGAGGTTTTTTTGCCTCTTACAAAAATGTTAAAAAATGAAACAGGTTGCGAGGGAAAGACTGTTCAGCTACTACTTAGGCCAAGCTGATGGTGGTTGAAACTTGGTACCCACTAATGGCTGCTTTATGGCCTATATCAAATGAATTTGACCAGTTTTCAGAGGAAAAGTACCCACGTCACAAACCTATTACTATAATTAGCAATCTTGATGGCAGTCCTAGCGAAAAGGACAAGGACTGAATGAGCTATGGAGAATGAACTATCCTCTCACACACAGAGGTGGCTTTTCCAGGTCAGAGATAAAGCATACTACTGAAATAGTCTGCGAAAATATGTACTGATGCTTTGGTTTCCTAGGCTGTCAATCTTACACCATTCTAAAGCAACAAATTCATTAAACAAAAAAAGAATCAAAGCATTTTCTTCTTTTTTTTTTCTTCTGATTTATCTTTTGAATTGACAAGCCAGAGAATGTGATTAAGGTCAAGATAAAAAGAGTTGTAATAATAACAGAACAAAAAGATCAAATAAGAAAATAGAAACTGAAAGAAGAGCACCTTTTCTTTAAATACTAACAATGTACCCACAAATGCCCCCTTGCGTTTCAAAAACAAAAACCCAAAATGGTAAATCTCCCAAGGACAGTTACGGCAGCCAGAGCTACATTTCCCCTGTAAAGTAATTCTAATTTATGAAGAATAGCCTAACAAACGTCAGTATATCTTTTCTTACAATTGGTAACTTATCTCAACAATCTGCAACAAAATCCTGATTTTACCAGCTTTTTATTTCTCATGCAAAATACTATACTGCTGCTATTACTCAACTTCTGTGACTCAATGGTTGTCCTCCTAATGTGTCTAGATAGGTAACTTACAGAGGACAAAACAGGCTAACTCTCTTGATCATATGTATCTCCTGGCACAGGTTAGAGTAGGCCTCAAGTTAGCGAAAGAGTAGCTGTGCAGATAAAGACAAAAAGTCAAAATCAGAAAGAAAGTTAAAGGACGCAAATGCCTGCTTTGCCTCAGGATGTACTAGCAGTTTTAATAAAGATCCAAAAAAATGTCCCAATTAACAGATGAACAGCTACCAAGAATCCTCATCTACCAACTTCTTCTTGTCATATTTTAATTTAGGTTTTAGTTTTTGAGAAGAACTATCACTGGTGTGCATATAGATTTGGGTGAAAGATTTTGTCTGAGTATTTATGTG